CTCTAAATGTAACACCCAGTTCCTATTGCATTTTTCTTTTCCAAGCAAGTTTCTGCTCTCACTGGAAGGTATAAAAGTTCTCCTGGCATGTAGACAGGTGTGTGAAATTGGTCAATAAATTCTAGAAGTACTACTGTTTATGCAAGATGCCTCCTGTTCAATCCTCAGAAGAGTTTTCTACATTTATAATTTTGCCTTTTGGTGAATAATTATGTGGCATTGCGTGCAGTATAGCCAGGAGATCCTAAGATTGACTGGCAGCCAGAGGTTCTAGCTCTTTAGTGTTATGCACCATTAGGTGGTGAGCTAGAATTGAAAATACACATGTAGAACTTGAGCCTGTTCTGAGAACAGGTGGGGCAATGCAGCTTGGGTGATTTCAAACACGGGGGGAGGGGAAACCCCAGTGCGGTATAAGAATTGATTTTGAAAGTGTAACTCTTTTGTGCAGGGGTTTTTTTGTAGAAAAAGCCCAGCAGGAACTCATTAGCATGATAGGCCACGCCCAACTTCAGAAACTCATTAGCATATTAGGCCCCACCCCCATGTTTTCCCTTGGCTTGCCCGGGTGCCCCGTGGCAAGCCAGCCCTTGGACAGGCCGGGAGAGGCATTTAAATGTATCCCCGATGCTTGCAGGGGGCCCCCTGGCCCGCCTGCCTCGGAGTTGTGGGGGGGGGGGGGGGGGGCGGCCCCCGGGGCTTCCCCCTCTGTAGCCAGGCACACAGAGGTTTTGGCTGTAGTGGGCGTGGCCAACTCTGAAGCCAGCCGGAACTCCGTTCCTGTGCGTTCCTGCCCCAAAATAGCCCTGCTTTTGTGGATGACAAGATATTCCTCAGAGCCTTACAGCACAGTATACTGGAAATGTGAAGGTCAAGACATTTACTTCATATTGCAACTGGAAAGAACAAAGAGAGCCTTTTGCTCACTGCAGTGTGTTGAATCGGCAGGCGAGGGGGAAGCATTCAGCCCTCCAAGAGGAGGTGCAGGGACCAAAGCTATCCTGTCTTGCTCAGCTGCCCCATGCAGGCACTCCACCATGGAAGCCATGACACACACACACACACCCAGGCAGAAGCCACATAAAAGGAGGTGGTAGTTCCGCTTTATTCTGCTATGGTCAGGCCTCACCTGGAGTACTGTGTCCAGTTTTGGGCACCACAGTTTAGGAAGGATGTTGACAAGCTCGAGCGTGTCCCGAAGAGGGCAACCAGAATGGTGAGAGGGTTGGAATCCAAGTCTTACGAAGAAAGGCTGAAAGAGTTGGGTCTGTTTAGCCTGGGAAAGAGAAGGCTTAGAGGGGACATGATTGCAATCTTCAAGTCTTTAAAGGGCTGTCATGTAGAAGATGGAGCGGATCTATTCTCTCTTGCTCCGGATGGCAAGACTAGATCTAATGGGTGGAAATTACAAGGGAGCCGTTACCGGCTAAATATCAGGAGAAACTTCCTAACTGTAAGAGTGGTTGAGCAGTGGAACAGTCTGCCTCGGGAGGTGGTGGATGCTCCTTCGCTGGACGTCTTCAAGCGGAGGCTGGATGACCATCTTTTGGGTATGTTGTAGGGCTATCTTTCGGCTGTGCTCCTGCAGAGTGCAGGGGGTAGGACTAGATGACCTGCAAGATCCCTTCCAACTCTAACATTCTATGATTCTAAAGCCATTAACTCACTTCTGGGTGGGGGGTATCTGGAGATTGCATGGGCCAGATTCCTTTCGTATTTCCCGCTGCTACTGCTATGATCATTTTGAATGCAGTGGTTAATTTTGAGGCCCCTAGCTTTAGGTTTGGATGCATAGTGGCTACTAGTCAACCAGAGATTCCAGTGCAAACACTGGGTCAGGATTACGTTCGTTTTGGGCACAGGAACGCCTGCTCCATCCTGAATCTAGAAGCCAATTTTGAGGCTCCTAGCTTTAGTTTTGGATGAGTTATGCCTGCCACAGACCGCCATTGCTTCCAAAGGGAGGAAAAAAGCGAAGTGGGGGGTAGTGTGGGGTCCTGGAGATTGTATAGCCCAGGATGTTCCAGTTCTTTGGCTCTTCAGAATCATACCAAAGCCAGCGGTCAATGTTGAGGTGCCCTAGCTATATATTGTGAGGGTTATGTCTATCAAAGCCTTCAGTTTGCAAGACCTAAGCAAGGCTGTTAATGATAGGACGTTTCGGAGGCTGTTGATCTGTAGGGTTGTCATAAGTTAGACTTGACGGCACACAAGATGCACACACATAGCTTGCAAATGACAGGTTTAGTTTTATATTTATACAGAAGACGGTGTTATGCCGGCCACAGTCAACCGTAGCTTCCACTGCAAATGGGGGGAGGTCTGGAAATAACTGGGGCTGATTACCCTCGTTTGGGGGCATAGCAGCTCCCATCATGATCTTCAAGCAAGGGTCAAAGTTTGAGACACCTAGTCAGGGGAGGGGTGGCATAAATCGAATAAATAAATAAATAAATAATTTTCTGATGAGTTATGCCTGCCTCAGTTGACCACAGCTTCCAATGCAAAATATGGGGAGGGGCTTTTGTGGATTGCATGAGCCACGGTGTTCCGATTTCTTTCATGTTTGCCACTGCAACTCCAGCATCATCCAAAGCCGAATGGCCAAATTTTGAGGGGGCTGGATTTATTTTCCGAGGAGTTATGCCCGACGCAGGCAGAGCCCATTATTCCATACAGAAGATTTATTTACTTTATTTCTAGCCTGCCTTGACCATGGAGACTCAAAGCGTATTACAGAATCAAAACAATGCCCGCATACAGCCATGAGATAACTAAATGAACCATACAATCAGTCTAGGCTTACAGAATGATATAGATAGAATAATTCTAAGCAGGGCCAGCTTGAGGATCTTTTTTTTTTGGTTTTGTTTCAAAGTCCTTTATAAGAAAGTTCAAAACCTGTAGTTACAGTATTACAGATTATTCACATAAAGGGACACTCCCTGGCAACTGATTGGCCATTCAACACATGAAGCTGCCATATACCGAATCAGACCATTGGTCCATCAAAGTCACTACTGTCTATTCAGACCAGCAGTGGCTCTCCAGGGTCTCAGGTAGAGATCTTTCCCATCACCTACTACCTTATCATTTGAACTGGAGATCCTAGGGGTTGAACCTAAGATCTTCTGCAAGCCAAGCAGATGCTCTACCACTGAGCCACAGCCCCTTCCCATTGTGTGTAAAAGGATGATGGACTAGATGTAGTGGTTAAGTGTGTGGACTCTAATCTGGGAGAACTGGGTTTGATTCCCCACTCCTCCACTTGCAGTTGCTGGATGACCTTGGAGAAGCCATAGTTCTGTCAGAGCTGTTCTCTCAAGGACAGCTCTGGAAAGAGCTCTCTCAGCGCCACCAGCCTCACAGGGTGTCTGCTGTGGGGAGGGAAAGGGAAAGGAGTTTGTAAGCCACTCTGAGACTCCGAGTGAAGGACGGGGTATAAATCCAGTATCTTCTCCTCCTCCGATGGACAACCGGTCTGATCCAGCAGGGCTCTTCTTATGTGCTTAAATACAAATGGTCACAACATTCTTAACTGGAACACACAGCTCCCTGATGACAAACAGGGAAATCCTTAATAGAATTCACATCAGGCAGTATTACCTAATGGTTGGAAGGCAACCACCCTTTCCCCCCATGCAGTCCTGTCTGGAGATCATCTTGCTCCAGTTGAAGAATCCCTCTCCACAACTAAATCATCCAAACCGTGTTCAAGGGAAGTCCAAGGCAAAGCTCAAAATAACAGTCAAATCTAGAGGTCATTGAGGCAATCTAGAGACTTTAGCAGAACAAAAAGTCAAGGAATCAGTTTAAAGTTTGAAGAAAGGAATTCTGGGCCACCACTGACACTGGAGAATGAAATACTCAAGACATGTCCAGGAACACTCCCAGGCAGCAAACCTGCTCTTTCACCCTAAGCGGGGGTCTTCCATTTTCCATCTTGTCTAGTCTACATCATGACTTAAGTCTGACCTGGAAGTACTCATCCCCATCCAATCCCATTATTAACTACATGCATGTGCATTTCTTGAGGCTGAAAAGGGGAAATAAAGTTGTGTGTCAACCACGTATTAACAGCCTGCATGGCATAGCAGTTAAAGCACTGGACTGGGACCTGGGTGACGCGGATTCAAATCCCCACTCTACCATGGAAGCCTGCCAGGTGACCTTGAGCCAATCACAACTTCTCAGCCCAACCTACATCACAGGACCATTGTGAGGGCGGAATGGGGAACTGGAGAATACTGGAAGCCACTTTGGTCCCCACTGAGGAGAAAAGTGGAGTTTAAATGAAGTAAAATAAACATTGATCACACCGCACTCCATGCCTCTGAAGTTTCTTCTCTCAACACTCTGGTGCACACATTAATATTAGATGATTCCTCCAGGCTGGAAATCTCCCATGGACTTCCTCCCAAAAAGAGCTGAATTACAACAGCACAACCCAAACTCCCAAAAAGTGTTCCTGAAGGATATCATAAAGCCACTGGGAAGTCCAGAAAAAGCAGCAGGGTCAAGTTTCTTCCCCTCCCCCTTTCCACATAACACATCCATCTGAAGAACTAAGGCAGTTTCCCCTCTAAGAACCTTGCCTGAACTGTATCAGGTTGATCAATTTACTCCAAAAACATTTTTGGTTGAATCCTACAAGTTCCCCTGCTCAATATTTTGGTGGTCAAACAGGTTCCTTCACCTTCCTCTAAAAGCAGAAAGGCTGATGGGTGTTCGTTCTTTGATGATTCTCAATTGCCTTGCCGAAGAATGGTAGATTTCATATCAGCCCAAAGTTGTTAAGGACATCTGACCTAAGTATGGTTTGTTTAAGAAGAGTCTAATGGCTCACTCCGTCAGAACACTGGACTGATTTCCCTTCAATAATTTTGCAACCAAGCTGACCCAGTTAGTCATCTTTCCACATCTAGATCTGAGAAGTCAGAATACACAAAAATCAAGCATACATTTATTAGCAGCATAAACTTGCCCAAATGTTGTCTGAATCAAGTGTAAGTGTGGGTATTCCGATGGGTACGAAGGCTGGCCTTCTGGCTGAAGGCCTTTCCACACTCTGAGCATTTAAATGGTTTCTCATCTGTGTGGGTCCTTTGATGACTATTAAGGGTAGGCTTGTGACTAAAGCTCTTTCCGCACTCTAAACACTTATATGGTTTCTCTCCTCTGTGGGTATTTAGATGAGTATTAAGATTGGCTTTATGACTGAAGCCCTTTCCACACTCTGAGCATACATATGGCTTTTCCCCGGTGTGGGTTTTCTGATGAGAAGCAAGATTGGCTTTCTTACTGAAGCTCTTTCCACACTCTGTACACGTATATGGTTTCTCCCCTGTGTGCGTTTTTTGATGGGAAGTAAGGTTGGCCTTTTGACAGAAGCTCTTTCCACATTCTAAGCATGTATACGGCTTTTCTCCTGTGTGGGTGTTCCGATGGCTAGAAAGGTGGGCCTTCTGATTGAAGCTCTTTCCACCCTCTAAGCATTTATATGGTTTCTGCCCTGTGTGACTGTTCCGATGGCTAGTAAGGTTTGTCTTCTGACTGAAACTCTTTCCACAATCTAAGCATTTATATGGTTTCTCCCCTGTGTGGATTCTTTGATGGATAGTGAGGTACTCCTTCTGACAGAACCTCTTTCCACACTCTAAACATTTATATGGTTTCTCCCCTGTATGGATTCTTTCATGGATAGTGAGGTATTCTTTCTGACAAAACCGTCTCCCGCACTCTAAGCATTTATATGGTCTCTCCCCTGTGTGGATTCTTTCATGGATAGAGAGATACTCCTTTTGACTGAACTCCTTTCCACACTCAGAGCATTTGTATGGTTTCTCCCCTGTGTGGGTCCTATGATGCTTATTTAGGTTGGCCTTCTGCTTGAAACTCTTTCCACACTCTGTGCACTCAAATCTTTTCTCTCCTGTGTTGATCCTTTGAGAGACAGTGAGGTACTCCTCCTCATTGAAGCTATTTGCACACTCTGAGGATTTACATGGTTTTTCATCAGTTTCAACTCCTTGATACTCGGTAAAGTTGTCCATCTTTCCCAAGCACTTTCCTACAGAAGTAATGGGTTCCTTCCTCCAGTTCTGCTTGCTTCGGTTTGCCTTCTCTCTCTCTCTTTTTGTTCTTTCACCCTGTCTGTGTAGGAATATGGAGAGAAATCAGATAGGGCAGGAATCAATCCAAAAATCATAATTAACTACCATTTTGATTAAGAGACTGAAAACATTAAGTAGGAAGGGAGACCTTGCCATGTGTTTTCAATACCCCTTTTCATGGCTGTCATGACAAATAATGCAGTGTGGTATACAAAGCACTATACTTGGGAGAGCTGGTTTAACTTCCGTAATAAAGCAGTTACTTTCCATATGGAAAGTCATATAAGTTTTTTGCTATGACTAATGCATTGCTCGACCATTTAGTCCCTAAAGTCTTCTCTTGTTCAACGAACTAAGAATCCGAGGCTGGATAAGATACTTTGGAGTATTAGTGCCATTCAGCATAGATAACACAGGGAAAGATTGTACAATGGCAGATTAATATCTCAGAGGGCTGCCCTAAGTAAGTCTACTCAGAATCCTACTCAGGTCTACAGGGGTGGAAAGTCAAAAGGGTAAAAATTACTGATTGTACTGACCAAAATTCCAAAAAAACCCTGGCCAAATACTGACAAAAAACGAACAAATTACTGAAGAATTTAACTTCAGCCTATTGATAAATTAGTGTTTTAATAGTAAAACTGGGAAATATATGGATTTTGGATTTTACTAGATATTACTGTATACTTTGCTGTAATTTTAAAATACATATTGGTGAAATGTTAAATTTAATGACAATAATTTTGGTGTTGCTATTTGTGTTTGGAGTTGGTATTTTGAATGTTATTGTTAAATTTTAAAAATTGTGTGTGGGCGGGGGAAGTAAAACTGGGGCTTCGTTAACACCATCCCCCTAGCCAGCCATCGTACACTTTTTTAATTGAAAAAAATATTTTTATGAAGACAGGACAATGTTTTCATTAAAACCATCTAAAAAAACATAAAGAGGGAAAACTAAATTTGATTTATCGTCTTCCACTTCTGCCATGCCCCTATAGAATGCATTATGAACTCTATGCAGGACTATTTTTGGGCAGGAACGCACAGGAACGGAGTTCCGGCTGGCTCCCGAGTTCGCCACGCCCAGCAGGAACTCATTAGCATAATAGGCCACACCCAACAGCAGAAACTCATTCGGATTGGCTACAATTAGCGGTGTGTGGCCTAACATGCAAAGGAGTTCCTGCTACAAGAAAAGCCCTGGGTTTTGACAACAAACAAGGTAAACAGAATAAGAAGCGAAAGGTGGGTGTGGATGGATGACTACACTTCTGGTAACATGGGGGTGCGGCCTGATATGCTAATGAGCTGTGTTGTCAGGGGTGTGGCCTAATATGCTTATGAGTTTCTGCTGTTGGGTGTGGTCTATTATGCTAATGAGTTCCTGCTGGACTTTTTCTACAAAAAGAGCCCTGAATGAATGTTACCAATGCCTGCATCTACTGTAGGCGGTCTCTCTGTCAAAATAAGATACTCGTTCATGAGTTTAGTGGCAACCTTGCTGACGTCTGGCCCATCATTACTTAGCATTAGCAGTTTTGACTAAGGAAGCTGTGCCAAACCCAAAGCTTCATCCAGTATACTGTAAATATCTTTAGCTGATGCCGAACCCATCAGAAAAAGGTCTGGAGGTGCCTGGTTACAATCAGGTTTTTGGTAGGTGACCAGTATCTGCCTGCAATCCTTTGTAAGATGTGTCCCCCAAAATGCAGTAACGAAACCCCCCCATAAATTGCATTCACAAAGAAATACTGAATTGGCTGACCAATTAAAAATTGACAAATTAATTACCAAGATGAAAAAACTTTCACTGATTTTACTAGCCATTTCCCACCCCTGGGTCTATAACTCACAGGGAAGTGTTCTGAGGATCGCACTATTACTGTTGTATAGTCTGGCCTATTGCAGAGGCATCTTCACAATATTTTGTTCAACGAGGGGAAGTTGGACTTTCTATGACGTTCCCTTTTCCTTAGCAGCCATAGTACGAAGGAATGGGGGAACTCCTCTTTTCCCATCAAGTCCAACCGAACTTTTTCATCATAACAATTCTGAACCATCGCCGATATTACTCTACACAAAACTTTTTAAGGATTTATAAAACTACAAAATATCATAGTGTTATACCAGTCACACCTTTTGAGACCAAAACTCATAAAACACTTGCCAATTCTTTAAAAACCACCTTCCTTGTTTTTTCCTTTTTTAAATTGAACAATCTCAGTTAGCTTAGATAGTTTGATGCTGCCACTATTTATTGCATCCAGGACTTTAAACTTTCAAATCTAGGCAATCACAGAATCATAAAGTTGGAAGGGACCTCCAGGGTCATCTAGTCCAACCCCCTGCATGATGCAGGAAATTCACAACTAACCCCCCCACCCCCACCGACCCCTGCTCCATGCTGAGAAGTTGGCAAAAAAAATCCCCCCAGGATCCCTGGCCAAACTGGCCTGGAGAAAATTGCTTCCAGACACCAAAGTGGTGATTGGCATTTCCCTGGGCATGTAAGAAAGGGCCACGAGAACCAGGGCTTTTTTTTGTAGAAAAAGCCCAGCAGGAACTAAGTAGCATAATAGGCCACACCCAATATCAGAAACTCATTAGCCTATTAGGCCACACCCATGACAACACAGCTCGCTCGCCTCGGAGTTGCCGGGGGGGGTCGCTCTCCAGGCCTTCCCTCTGTAGCCACGCACACAGAGGTTTTGGCTGTAGTGGGCGTGGTCACCTCTGAAGCCAGCCGAAACTCCGTTCCTGTGCGTTCCTGCCCAAAAATAGCCCTGACGAGAACTAAGCACCAATGCAACCCTTCCTGCCCTCCTTCTCATGATCTGCCTGAGCAGTTCAATCAGCAGTTCAACTGCAGTTGAACAATCTAGACTCAAACTCCCATGAATTGGCGGCACTAGTATATCAATAAGTCCTAACAGAAGGCTATTAGGTGAAGATATATCATCCTTCTAATTTCTAATATCACCCTATTACAAAATCTTCTAACTGGGGGGCATGTCTGTTATGGTAAAGAAATGCAGGATGCCTTTCTTAACACCATGAGAGGCCCCTGGCCTTAGAGAAAATCCATCCTTATAGGATCTGGCCATAAAGTCCTCAGATATGCAGACGATACCACTCTAATGGCAGAAAGTGAAGAGGACCTTAAGAGCCTCTTGCTCAGGGTAAAAGAGGAGAGCGCAAAAGTGGGCTTGAAGCTCAACAACAAAAAAACTAAGATCATGGCATCTGGCCCCATCACTCCTTGGCAAATAGAAGGGGAAATCGTGGAAGTAGTGACAGACTTCACGTTCCTGGGATCCCAGATCACCGCAGACTGTGACAGCAGCCATGAAATTAACAGACGCCTGATCCTTGGGAGGAAAGCGATGGCGAACCTAAACAGCATGATACAAAGTAGAGACATCACCCTGCCAACAAAAGTCCGCATGGTCAAAGCAATGGTATTCCCAGTAGTCATGTATGGCTGCGAGAGTTGGACTATAAGGAAGGCCGAGCGCTGAAGAATAGATTCTTTTGAACTATGGTGCCGGAGAAGACTCTTGAGAGTCCCTTGGACTGCAAGAAGAACAAATCAGTCAATCCTAAAAGAAATCAACCCTGACTGTTCCCTGGAAGGCCAGATAATGAAACTGAAGCTCAAATACTTGGGCCACCCAATGAGAAGGGAGCACTCACTGGATAAGACCCTGATGCTGGGAAAGATTGAAGGTCAAAGAAGACGGGGACGGCAAAGGATGAGATGGTTAGACAGTGTCATAGATGCAACCAACATAAAGTTGAGCAAACTTCAGAGGACGGCGGAAGACCAGGCCTGGCGTGATCTGGTCCATGGGGTCGCGAAGAGTCGGACTCGACTGTGCGACTGAACAACAAAAATAAAGTCCTCTTGTCAACAGCAGAGATGTTCCCCATTTATAGAGACAAAGGGGTTGTGTATGGTCTCGGCGACTCCATCTTTCTTACATGCTTAGTCGCCCTGAGTCTTGTGGGAGGACAGTGTTAGCTGCTCTCAAGGGAACTTTCATCTCTCTCACCCTTCTCAGCAGTGCTTATCTTCAAAGCCTGGGTTGTCCCCCGTTCCCCCCCCCCCCGTGAGCCAGGTGCAAGATGGCCTGGCGCATCCAAGTGTCTGCCTTTGCTTAATTTATGGTTATTTAATCCGCAGCCAGCATTTAAGGTATAAGATGTATAGTTTTAGTCATGCCTCTGATCTCGGATTCTTGCAAGCTTCCCTGTGCATGCTTGAGGCCCAGCTGATGGAAGCGTAGCCTGAATCTTGTGTCACTTTGATGCATTACTAAAAAATCTCCAAGTAAGCCCAGATCTCTTGTATCGTTTTCTTGGAATTTCTGAGAACCTTGGAGCTCCTGGTCCAAGCCCATCACAGGTAGACAACCATTTGAGTCAGGATAGGTTGTTTTTGATATCCTGAGTTGGGCCATAAATACTAATGTTCCCTCTAAGCTGTGGAGTGTTGTGTGCAAAAATTCTACTTCATGAGCCAAAAAAGCTACTAGCATTGAAGTTGTGAGTGAGCCTACATGTGACTGTTGCTAAGTTACTTTATGTGGTCCCAGGGACTGTCATTCCAGGCCCAGGGACTCTCATACCACTCTGGGGGCTGTCATTCCAATGCCAGATGAGTTTTCCCAATCCCAGGAACCATCTTTCCACTTGGGGGCTTTCTCAGAGTAGTTTTTCTGATCCCAGGCACCCTCTTTCCACTGCCCCCCCTGTCATTCCAGTCCCAGAACCAGAGGTCATTTCGGGGGGGGATCGCGGGGGATCGCAGTTCCCCCGGGTGAGGTACGGGGGCGGGGCACACAATGAAGCCCCGCCCCCTGCTTCCGGCCGCCCCGCTTCCGGCCCTCATTCAGCCAGGAGGAGGCAGGAGAAGAGGGAGGGTAAGTTGCTTCCTCCCT